ATCCCACCTTAAGCATGAAAGCCAGCTCAGGTGACCACTCACTCTCTCTCAACCCAACCCACCTCACAGGGTGGTTGTGGGGAAAATAGGAAGAGGAAGGTGTGTTGCATATGTTTGCCACCTTAAGTGGAATACAACTAAATAGGTAAATTTATGTTTTTATAGATATATATTTATTTTCACAATCTTTTAATAATACTCTGTTAATAACAGTAGTAGCTGGAACAGTAAAGTGTGCAATAGGCCAGAACACACAGTTGTAGTTGATTAACGAGAGAGTGCTGACTCATGCGTGAGGCAATCTACGTTCTGACTGGTTGCTGTTAAGTATAAAGGGGGAGTTTCCCGTTTTTCCCGCCTTTTTCTTCTGTGTGTTTGATTTACCTCATGATGTCCCTGTGTCCCTATCTAGCATTTGTTCTTTCTGCACAATGTTCAGCAATAAATAAATGTATATATTTAAAAGACTACAAGCTCCTATTAGTATCTCTGACTTTACTTGGATAGCTGCTGCTCAATTCTCTGACAGAATACAAATAAATAGATAAATAATTTATATTTTTATAGATAAATATTTTCATCATCTTCTAATCATAGATGCCAGGCAATGTTTTTAGATGACTTTGCTGGTCTTAGGATACTTTAAAAAGGGCGTTCGTATCAGAGTAACAGTGCGGTTGTTGTTTTTTTTGTTTCAATGGGGAACAGGAATGGGAGACTCCCTTTGGGGCCTGTTTTTGTTAACATCAAAGGAGTTCACAACATTTGCGCAGAAATTAAGTCGGCTCCCACCCTTCCTGACTTGCATTGTGTATAACCAAACCCGTATGTTGCCCAGCTGTGGCAGAAGCAACCAATCTATATTTCCTGACCCAATCTATAGTTCCTGAAATGTATGGAAAGATTTTCACAGAGGCCTCCCAAATGTAATAGTTGCCTTCTGCAAATTCACAAAGCAGTTGTCACTTTTATTAGCCTGACAGCTCTTGATCGCTCAAATTTCATGTGCAACCAGAGAGTTTTTGATTAGCATTTCATTCATTTGCAGAATTAATATCTTGATTTCCCTTCAAGCAGGAAGCTCCCTTTAGCTCTGGAGAATGTACACCGTTGGGTCACAAGTTTGATTAATGAGATATTTAGTGTGAATCCTACCTTGATATCAGGTAGCATTAATGCAAGCCAAAATCCAGTGTGAGGCTAATGTGTTTGGGACACTAATCCACATGCGATACGATGTAATCTGATAAATATGGTGATATTTTTTTAAAAAAATGTGCGCAAAATGAAGAAAAGGAAGGGAATCCTTTCAGAGAAAGCTCAAGAGAGAAAAAAAAGCAAGGGCTCATTTTGAAGAAGTACAGCAGAATACAGGAGAAAACTTTATAGAGTATATAAAGTTATCTCCCTTTTGAATTATTTAAGTCTTTCTGAGTTCTGTCTAACTAGAAGAGATGGGAGTGATATTTAGATCTTGTCTTTATTTTGCTTTCCAGAACTACTCTAGAAACTAGAAGCTACTCTGTGACTTCGTTAAAAAGATGAACTTCAGTTGTAAGTATGTTCTGTGAAATGTTTTGCCGTTACATTAATACATTTATAAAAATATGTCTAAAGTTTTTCATGGCCTGTTTCTGTCAGGCTGTAACCAGCTGCCCTATTTTCCATAGAAATCTCTCTCAATAGTGCAAATTCAAATAATGCCACCATTTCATGAGGTTCGTTATCAACACTAATGGAGATCTACCTGTATCTACAAAAATGTGGGTAGGTTTCTGAAACCCCAAAGCCAGAGAATCTCTCTGAGTCTGTTGGCAAAGCCTATTTATTCATTTTGGTGTACAATTCTGATCAGATTTTTAAGAAGAAATCACGAGTCTTCTATAGTCTGGGATGGGTGGATATAGGTACCAAAAATCATAACGTGGTTTGTTTTGGATGGAGGTGAACCTACCCACCTTTGTGAATTGGTACGCTAGGGGGTACCCTGAGCCACCTAGTTTGCAAACCAAGGTGGGTAGATTCAGATTACAGTCTATTTATGAAACAAAGATGATCCGTGGCTTGTACAATATATGAACGGGAAAAGCAACAGATTTATTTCCACCAGACAAGATTCAGTCATCTGTTAGGGGTGCTTTGATTTTGATCCAGGAAGACTATAGGATTGAATTCAGCGGCTTAACTGTACAATCTTCTGTTTACACAACTTGAAGTAAACACCAGCAAATATAAAACAGTAAGCGGTAGGCTGGCACAAGCTAAATCAAAAGCAATGCCCACCACATGGCTTGCTGAGACGTGCCAGTCTAGATTGTGAGGAAGCAGAAGAGAGCAAGATTGTCACTGCAGTTAACGCAACTTCCTGGGTGTTTGCATGCGCAAAAACAATCCATAAACGAAGCCTATGCCCTAGGCAGAATTTGCTCCATACATTGCAGACCGACAAACTACTAGCAAGCCACTCCTTTTATTTTATATGTTGCCTCTGAATCCAGCCAATCATTTCTCAGAAATGCTTTCCCCCAAAACAGCTGCAGGATGAAAACCAGCCTGCAAGCCTCTCCCGGACCTCGATGCGGTCACGGAGGTGTTACGCGGGGCACTCGTTTTACGACCTATTGTTTTAACGGTTTTAATGCACACTTTCCCCCCTTCTTTTAAACATCGGGAACGGGTCCAATAATGAAAGACAGCGCAGGTCTTTTTTTTAAATTGTGCTGTTTCCTAATTGGCCGACAGGAACAAAACCGCGACCCAATCAGCTTGCAAGACCAATGGGCTGACCTCATTAGTTTGCATTGTTATTATTTCTTTCCTCCCTGCGCGCCCCCCTCCCCTTATTTTTCCAGCTTTGAAGGGGAGGGGGAAAAAAATCAAAACAAAACAGCTGGCTCGGGGGAAAACTCCGTTGGCATCGTAGACATCGCCAAGGTTGCCAGCCTCTCAGTCGATGGCCAGGTCTGCCCAGCTAATGGAGTTGAGGATTATGACGACTAATAATGGATGGCTTCGATTTGAAACCCCCCTCCCCCGAAAGAAAAAAAAAAGGAAGGAAGCTCAGCCCCCCCCCCGCCACGTGCATTATCCTACTTGAAAGTCCTCCAAGGGAGAACTCCCGTTTGAAAGATAACTAGGGCGCGGGGGGTGGGGGTGGAATTAACCTTCCGTTCAGGTTAATGCAGTCATAACTTTTTTCTTTTTCTTTTTAAAGGGAAGGACTTCGCCCTGAATGAATGCACAATTTAGATCAAGCTGGACAGGCGCCCGAAGACGACTGACTGTGTGTCAAGGGCGGGTAGCAGCCGCGCGGGCCCTTAAGGAGAGAGAGAGAAGCCAAGGCGAGCTTTGCGCAGACCCGAACCAACCCAACCCGGGAGCGCAGCAGCCGAGGCGAAGCTGGAGCCCGGCGGCGGCGGCGGCGCTGCTGCTGCTACCGCCGCCCCGCCTTTCCTCTCCTTTCTTCCACCGGGGAGGAGTTTTCCGTAAGCAGCGGGCGTGGGCATTTAAAAGGAAGGGCGGCGACAAGCCGCACAAAAGATTGCTATAGGCTTAAGGCGAGGTTGCAGCGGAGGCAACGGGAGGGAAAAGGGCGGCGGTGGAAGGAGGGGGGGGGAGGCAGGCAAGCAAGCAAGCAGGCAGGCGCGTCGGCTAGGGCGCACGGCCGCCCGCCCTTCCCAGCCATGCAGCAGCCAAGCCATCCCGGCCGGGCGGTGGAAGCCACCGCAGAGGCGGGCGCCGCTTAGCAGGCATCCCTCCCCCACTTTTTTTTTTTTTTTCAAAAAAGTTGGGAAGTCCGGAGAGCCCCCCCTCCCCAAACCCCCTCCCCGCTCCTCCCCGCAGATAGGAAGTGTTGCTTTCCGGCCTCGGAGTCCTCCACCCTTCTGGAAGTCGGGGGCAGAAAAGCTAGCCATGGCCGGAGGAGGGGAGCGAAGCCGGCGAGGATCCCGTCCCCGGGGACTCCCCGAGCAACCCTCCACCTGACCGGGGGGACGCCAGCCCGAACTTCTCCGCCCGCCAAGCGGATGCGCCAACGCCTTGGAGGCCGCCGGAGATGCGTCTTCCCGGAAACGGGGGAGCCAAGTGGGTGGCGTGATCGGGGCAAAAGAGGAGAGAAACGGCCCAGAGGATTCCGGGTCGGGGAAGGAAGGAAGGAAGGAAGGGGGCCGCCGAGCAAGAGACGCTGCCTCGCCCGCCCCGCCGGTCCTTCCCCCGGACGCCCGTGTCCTCCTTTGCTCCGGAGGTGAGCGCGTAAAAACGCTTCTTGGCGAGCCCAGCCGACTCTCCCCTCCCCTCCCTTCCCTTCCCTCGCTCTCCGCCCGCTGCCGTTGCTGCTGCTGCGGCTGCTGCTCAAGCTGAGCCGGGCCACACCCTCGCCTGCTCTTCCTGATAGCGGGGAGAGGAAGACCGGTGCCCGCCCGCTTTCCGCGCGAGGGGGGCGGCGGAGCGAACGGGCGGCGCGCCGGTCTTGCGCTTTGACTGCCCCGCGGGGTCGGCTTCCCTTGGAAAGGCGTGAAGTCTGTCGAGGGGTCGCCGCCTGGCTGAGATCTGGCCGAATGAAGCCAGCCACCCAGCCAGCCGGGAAGTTTTAACGTTGCTCTTTGTATTGGCAGGTCTGCGTCGCAGCGGCGGCTGGGTTTTTCCTGGCCTCTCTCCGAAAGAAAAGTCAGCCAGAGCCGCCAAGATGCCCTCAAAGAATCGAGGGTTTGAGGGTCCCATGAGCCAGTGGCGACCACCGCAGCGTTTTTCATCCGCAGGCTGGGTGTTGTGACCGCCTTTCTGGAGAAGGTGCTGCCCTGCTTGCTTCCGACTTGGTGGTGGGTCTGCCAGCCCCCTTTCTCTCCCTCTGGTGCTCCGAGACTCTGGTTTATTTGTGCAGATTAATGGAATGATGGTGCGGAAAGGGCAGAGCGATCCTGCCGGGCTCAGCGGGGACTCCTCGGGAGGCAGCTGGAAGCGGAGTGGTGGCAGCAGTGGGGTCCCCAGAGGCATGCGTGTGCCCCTCCGGCACCATGGCTAGTGGCGGCTCTGGCAAGTCCACTACTGAGACATCCACCCCCAGCGGCAGCTCTTTGCCAAGGAAGAAGCTCGTGGCCACCTGTGACCTCTGCAAGATCAAGATGCAGCTGGTAGCGGATCTGCTCCTGCTATCCAGCGAGAGCCGGCCCGTCCATACGGAGAGCTTGTCTGTCTTCGGAGAATCCTTTGAAAAGTGCAGGGACACCATCATCGCCAGGACCAAAGGCCTCTCCATTTTGACCCATGACGTCCAGAGCCAACTCAATATGGGCCGTTTCACCGAAGTGGGGGACATCCTGGGGGAGATGGGGGACTTGGTGGTCTCTTTGACAGAGTGCTCGGCCCACGCTGCTTACCTGGCGGCGGTGGAGACGCCAGGGGCTCAGCCAGCTTCACCCGGCTTGGTGGATCGCTACAAGGTGACCAGATGTAAGCACGAGGTGGAACATGGGTGTGGGATCTTGAAGGCCACCCCTCTCGCTGACCTAAGCCCTCAGCTCCTTTTGGAGGTCTCTCAGAACATGTCCAAGAACTTGAAGTTCCTGACCGATGCCTGCGTCCTGGCCAGCGAGAAGTCCAAGGATAGGTTTGCCAAGGAGCAGTTCAAACTTAGCGTCAAATGCATGAGCACCAGCGCCTCTGCTCTCCTGGCCTGCGTCCGGGAGGTCAAGACGTCCCCCAGTGAGCTGACACGCAACCGGTGCGTCTTGTTTAGTGGACCTTTGGTGCAGTCTGTGTGTGCGTTGGTGGGCTTTGCCACAGAGCCTCAGTTTTTGGGCAGAGCGGCCACCATCAACCCAGAGGGCAAATCTGTCCAGACGGCCATTTTGGGCGGTGCAATGAGTGTCGTCTCGGCTTGCGTGCTCCTTACTCAATGCCTCAGGGATATAGCCCAACACAACGACAGTAGCGCCAAGATGACTGAATATAGGGAAAGGTTGAGGAACTCGGCGTGTGCGGTCTCCGACGGCTGCAACCTGTTATCTCAGGCCCTAAGGGAACGCTCCTCACCCCGGACTTTACCGCCAGCAAATGCAAATTCTGTGAATTAATCTATTCAGTTTTAGATTGCATGGCCGCCTCTTAACAGAGAATCCCTTTTCTGCCCCAGATTTTCTTTTCGTATACCAAAGAATTTGTGTAGCGCAGTCCTTTAATTCTTCTTCTTATTGCTAAAATAATAGTGTGAGGAGGCAGTAAAACCATGCTTTTTTAGCTTACATGTCATAATCAGCATGGATGTCTGTTATCTGGGGAGGGAACGGGACGCACATCCCCTCCCCTCCAAATCTGTAAATCATCCAAGCAGCCTTACATTTAAGCATGGAACTGTCGGTGGCTTGCCGTGGCCTGAGACTGGCAGGCAGAATTCTGTTCAGGCAAGCGAGCAACTGCATTTCCTTCCTTCTGCTTGGTCCAAAATCAAGGTCAGTTCTTGGAGGACAAGGCTCTCTTCTTTTGCAAGGCCTTGTGTAAAATGATTTAAATTCTCTGTTCTTCTATTGCTGGCTGCCAGCAGGCTCCTAGTACCTTGCCCAGGCTAGTAACTTTGGAATTACTCCTAAGGCTGCCTCCAAGCTGATTGTGCTTCATTGCTTCTTTCTTTTGTTGAAGCCTGTGGCCAAGCAGGGGTTACAGCGGTTCTAGGAAAGGTGTGCTAATGAGGGGTCCAAGCTTTAATCGTGCTGGATGCGATTTTTAAAATGTTAGGAGATGGAGGGTGGGTTCTACCAAAGTCTCCTAGATTTTATTTTGTTTAGTTGAGCAGGAAGAAGAAAAAGGAGAGAAAAAAAAGTTACCTCAGTTTTCGTACACTCTGGAAGAAAGAAAACTTTTAAGAATGAGTGTAGCTACGACTTTTGCTTTGATTTGTATGGGTTACTTTCGAATCGAGTGATGGGTTAGAAGTGCATTTGCAGGGAAAGCAATGAGGCTGGGTGTCATTTTCCAATGGGGGAGCTACTGTGAGTGTGTTAAAATAGGGATTGGGTAAATTACACTATAACATGAGTGATTTTGGTTTTTAATTATTATTTTTTTCAGTGGTTTTTTTTTTAAAAAAAATCTTGCATGTACTGGAGTATTTATTTCATCTATTAAAATGTTGTTTCTCAGCCTTTTGTGAATCTCTCAACACTTAAAAGAATATCCTCTGTTGTATAAGTGTGACTTCTTCCCCCAAAGTGGATGATTCGGAAGGAGGTTTAATTTTACTATGAGCTTCTGTAGATTTGAATTCTCTTGACTTTTTAAAAATGACACATTCTTTTGCTTTCTCCTCTCCTTCGCTTGCGTCCACCTGCATTTTTCTTTGCCAAAGTTGGAGCTTGAGAAGTTGAATGGTTATTTTCTTTTTCCAGAATATTCCCAAATGAGCTGTGCTGTATCTGATCCAAATGTTCCAAAAAGCATCCACTAGGACCTTAGATATATTCATTCAAAAACAAGCCTTCACGTTTTCACTTAGGGGCTTCTCCTTGTAACATGTTGAGTTTCTCAGCCTTAACATACAGATTTCTAGATGTGGACATCTTGGGAAGTAAGCCCTGCTCTATGAGGTTTGCTTTGGAGTAGACAAAATGGTGTGGCAAGCCTATAGTCCTAGGTGTGTAGGGTCAAGACCCAGTGATCATATTACAGGTAATCCCCGACTTACGATTACAATTGAGCCCAACGTTTTTGTTGCTGAGACATTTGTTAAGTGAGTTTTGCTCCCTTTTAAAACCTTGCCACTGGTGTTAAGTGAATCGCTGCAGTTGTTAATAACACAGTTGTTAATGAATCTGGTTTCCCCATTGACTTTGCTCATCAAAAGGTTACAAAAGTGACCCCAGGACGCTGCAACTGTCATAAGTACATGCCAGTTGCCAAGCCTCTGAATGCAATGGTCGTGTGAAAAATGATCAAAAGTCACTTTTTTCGGTGCTGTTGTAACCTTGAATAGTGACTAAACGAACTGTTTTAAGTCGAGAGTTACCCGTATAGAGTATTTCGTATGACGTTAATAAAGGGAAATTTGTAATAGTAATATTCCTGTTCAGGGATGCAGCTTACCTTAGCAAATCTTCAAGGTGTCAGGGTGCTAAGGTAGGAAAGGATTTGCGCTACCTCTGATGTCCTCAGAGGTAGCGCAGGCAATAATATGTAATGAATAATAATGAACCATACCTACCTAAGCCTTTTTGGACCAGGGATTGCTCCCATCCTTTCAAGTGATAATTTGGAGCGCATGGAGTGATTCTCTTGGTTCAAGAAACACATCTTGTTTTCTTTAAAGCATGGATATCGGCATTTGTCATGCTTTTGCAAAGCCACTTCACCTTTGATATCTGTTGTAGTGGACCATGGCTTGCTTTTAGCTAGCATGTTTCTTCCTGAAAAGAACCCTTTGGAATCGGAGCAAAAGAATTCTCATTAGCTATTTGCAAAGGAATGGAGTTCTTTTCCTGGCATCTTTAATAAAATGATCAACTAGTAGGATCCACTCATGGGGGTCCCCAAATTCTTTCATGTTTTTTACAATTTGTTTTAACTCCGTTTAATTAGACTTGCTTCACTTATAAATGGCAAACAAACAAACAAAAAATACAAACAGACAATAAAGGCTAATGTTGATTGACTGCTATTAATTTGCAGTTAACTTTTATTAGAAAGACTTAACACATTGAAAAGTAGTAAAAGAGGATTTCTACTGCCAGTGCTTATTTATGTCCTTTGTGGCTAGAGAGTGTTTGTAATCCAGCCATGCCTCTTTGTCTGCAAGAAACTCGGGCGGTACATTAATCCCTAGGTTTATCTGAAGTCAAATTTACTTCTGAATAGATACAGGATTGTGCCATGAAATGAGCCACAACCACTGTAGTCATTGCATTGGTGATCTTACTTGGAATAAACAGAAAGACTGTGCGTTCATGTACACACATATGCCTGCCTGTGTGATCTGATTATTGATGTATGCATAAGATTTTGAAACATGACTAGGAGATAAAATATTTCCCTTGAAACCCTTTAACACAAAATGGAAGCACTGATGTACAGGGCGGGTCCCCGACTTTATGATCACAACTGGGACTAGAACTTGCTAAGCAAAGTGGGTGTTAAAAGTGAGTCCCGTCCAGTTTTATAAGCGGATCACTGCAGCTGCTAAGTGAGTCCTGTGGTCATTAAGCAAAGCAGCTTAAAAGTCAATTCCCACATTGACTTTACATTGGTGAAAGCCAACGGGGGAAAATTGCAAATAGTTGAATTTTGATCCCGTGTCGCTTGCAAGTGTAAAGGCCGGTCGTAAGTCACTTTTTTCATCGCCATTGTAACTTTGAACAGTCACTGAATGAATGATTCTAAGTCAAGAACAATATGTATAATATCTTTTTTATCATCCTGTTTCTCAGGAACTCAAGGCAACCTTCTCTAATTTTATTCTCCTAATAAGAATCGTCTGGCTGAAAGTTCCTGAAGAATTTCCATAATGGAAGCAGGCTGCTGCCTGGGTCTTCCCAATACTACTCCCAACATCCTAATCTCTGTGCTACTCTGGCTGTCTATGGAAAGTTGATTTAACGGCTGGATTCATGCATCGCGTTAAGCCATCGTGTAATTTATTTCCTTTCGACATAATGTGATTTGTAGTCGTTATGATTTGCAAGCCATTATTTATAAAGTTGTGGTTTATCCAAATCATGACTAAAGCAACAATGGCTTAGCAGGGTGTACGAACTTGTCACTAATATATATCAGGCTTAATTTCCAGAGAATACTTTAATGCAGGGGTGTCCAACCTTGGCAAAGTTAGGACTTGTGGATTAAAACTCCCAGAATTCCCCAGCCAGCATGATTGGCTGGGGAATTCTGGGAGCTGCTCCACAGATCTTAAAAGTTGCCAAGGTTGGACACTCCTGTTTTAATGGGAGTGGACTTAATCATTGCTTAAAGACAAAGATCAGTAACTAGCAAAGTCTATTCCTGAACTTCACCTCTCTCCTTGCTCTACCATAGATCTACCGAAAGGGCTTTTGCAAACAAAAGTGACCAGCCTACCTTTAGAAATATCCTCAACGGCATTAGGCTGGATGTTTGTATCTAATTATTTTTTTCCCTTTCTTAAATTGTTTTAAAAAGTCATGGTTGAACTGGGATCAAGTCAGGTTTCGGGTTTTCAGCTGCTTCCTAATCATGGCCGTGATCTCAAGCATAAGCAATAATAATAATAATGATGATAATAATAATAATAATAATAATAATAATAATAATAATAATAATAATAATAATAATAATAATAATAATAATAATAATAATAGTTGGAAGGGATCTTGGAGGTCTTCTAGTCCAACCCCCTGCTCAGGCAGGAAACCCTATACCATTTCAGACAAATGGTTGTCCAGTCTCTTCTTAAAAACCTCCAATGATGGAGTTCCCACAACTTCTGGAGGCAGGATGTTCCACTGATTAAGTGTTCTCACGTCCAGGAAATTTCTCCTGAGTTCCAGGTTGCTTCTCTCCTTGATTAGTTTCCATCCATTGCTTCTTCTCCTGCCTTCAGATGCTTTGGAGAATAGCTTGACTCCCTCATCTGGCATATATACTTATATATAGTTTAATACTACATGCAATATTTGCATGATGAAATGTAGACCGGTGATGTCACTTCCACCTGACCCATGGATACCTAACCACGTTGATGTTCAATGAATGCTCCTTGCAGTCCTCCATTTTTTTGAGTTTCGTAGAGACGCTGTTCAGGGGTGGAGCAGGCAGATATCCTTCCTGCACTGCTTCTGCCTCTTATTTCTGTTCTATCCCTAATAGAACAACCCTATCTATCCCTAATAGAACAACAACAAGATGCATTCAGGAGATGCAGTTAATGCAGCTAGAATAAGCTGGAGCAAGAACAGAGACACAGACATTAGGGGTGAGTGGGGAGGTCCCAAATCCCAGCTATTCCATCTGCCATTTCTCTCTTATCACTTCTCTGCTCACTGTAGCCCTTGATTCTCCAAAACTGATAATTAAAAAAAATACCTGAACAGGTCTGTTTTCTTTCTGCTAGATGGGGAAAAATAGAGGTGTTGGTGGCTAGGACGAGCCGTGGTGGTGCCGTGGTTAGAATGCAGTATTGCAGGCTGACTCTGCCCACCGCCTGGAGTTCAATCCTGTCAGGGCTCAAGGTTGACTCGGCCTTCCATCCTTCTGAGGTTGATAAAATGAAGACCCAGATTGTTGGGGGCAAGAGGCTGACTCTGTAAACTGCTTAGAGAGGGCTGTAAAGAACTATAGAGCAGTAAATAAGTCTTAAGTGCTGTTGCATTCATTTTGTTCTTGGACCCCTTCCTGAGTATGACAGGTGAACCCAAACATCAAGTGAAGTCATAACATGGTTCATTTAGATTAAATAACCTATATGAACAGGAGTCATGTTTTATTAACTCGGGTTTATCGTGCTGTCATCACCCAGCCAGGATGGATTACTGGGGATGATGGCAGTGACAAATCATTGGTTCTCCCTGATAACTT